CTGATGAGGGTTGCGTCATTACCTCGGATCTCAATGATACCATGGCCAAACGTTTGCAGCTGCACGCTGGATTCGCAACGGGCGCAGTTCTTCACGAAATCCTGCATGCTCAAGAAAGCACCGTACCATGTGAATGCAACTGGAGCGTCATCCGGCGTGGACGTTAGTCCCGCTACACAGAGGTCCTCCTGGGTGCATTCGAAAAAGGCCACCCGACAGTGAGGCATATCTTCACGGTGGGGTCCAATCTCCTGGGTCACGGTTGCGTTCGATCCAACTGCCATTGCCCTTTGCGTCGTCGTGCGGCCTGGGTTCGGTAGGTAGGCTTGCACAAGACAATCCATCACACGAACAGAACGTCTGGTAATACCATTGTTCGTGAGGCTGCAAGCGTAAGTATTGTCCTTGGTGAAGCGATCCAAGATACTTGTGAAGCCCTGCTTCTTGGCCTTGCCCAACGCGAGCTTAGCTTTCCTTATGCTATCTCCTTCAAAGGAAGCCATTCCTCTGCCGGCGACGTCTTTCGACGCGCTTTTCAGCTTGTTGAGGAATACTCTTGGGGCGTTGTTGTCGTCAGCCAACTGATTGATCATGGCCTCACGTCCGCGTGCAAGCTGCGTGCGCCTGTTCTGTCTTCTCAACTGACCAGGTTTCACAGGACCTCCGCAGCTAAAACAGATACGTTGCCCGTCTAGGCAACTCGTACCACAATGACAGCAATTGATGTTTTCCAAGAACGCAGCGGTGGGTTTAGCTTCGGTTCCCCCGTAGTGGATGGGCTCATTCCGACGCACTTCTTGCTGGTATGCGTGCACCGCCTTGCCTTGTACATCCTGAACGATGTTGGTGATGGTGGTGCTGCTGATGTGCGAGACGGTCGTGGTGAGCTCGGTCGGAACAATTGGGGTGCCTTCAGGGACCGGCGGCCTCTCCTCTACGGAGGGCATTGTGGCATCGGCCTCCGTAGCTGGCTTCTCTTGTTCCGTTTCCATCACAACGGGTGGAACTTCTTCATATGCAGCAACAGAACTGGTTTCTGTGGCTTCATAGGCGGGCGGTTTCAAGAACTCAGATCCGACCGTAGGGGTTGCTTGCGACCCAGAGGCGAGCTCGTGTTCAGCAGGTAGATCGGCCTCGACTTTCGTCGGGCTTTCACTTCCCGCTGCCTCTTGCGCCTCGTCCGCCGCATAAGTCCCCCCTGATCTGGACCATAGATTGACGTCCTTGACATCATCGTTGATGAACAAAATGCAATGTCCAGGTACATGATCACTTGTCAAGAACCCCTCACTCTCAGTGACGAACACTTCACAACCAGCGGCGAGGACCTCAGCAGTATCAAAGACGATCTCCACAGGGAGGTTCGCCCTCACACCTGCTTTCGTCTTCGCCTCCTCAAGAGGCTCACCGCTGAAATAGCAATGGGCTTCGCCGGAACCTCCGAAGCCGGGTTGTAAGAGTCAGCGAGAATACTGAATGCTGCGTCGTGGGTAGTCCGATGGTAAAGTCGGGGCGGTGCCTTATCGATAGGAATAATCGGCCTCTCCTCTCGGAGGGCATCATCAAACCTATCAAGGTCCTCGCTCGTGTAGGGGCTAAGCCACCCTACAGCAATCTCCTCAGCAGCAAAAGTCCTTGCAAGATTCTCGTGATGTCCATGGACACAACGGATGAAAACAGGGAATGCAGGCTGACTAATCGTATCAGCAGTATGGTCCATAGGTCCTCGGAAGCTTAGCCGTCCTTTGTTATCATGACATGCCATCTCCAGTAAGGTACCCAGCCCCAAACTTACGCGTTTAATACGGTTAGTCACCTGGAGGACTTCAAGCGCGAGAACCCACGGGCCATCCCAGGAACGAAGACGGAACTTCTCGCCCTTGTCGATGAAGTTCCCACGGATCAACCCCGTGATGAAGTTCCTTACGCCCGGGTCGATTCTCGGTTTGGCGAGGCCCGGGGTCATGTCGCTTTGGTTGACCACTAGATAAGCATCGGCCTCGTCTTTCGACGGGCTTGAGTTCCAGTGATCGTGCAACACGGCCCCTGTCATCTCCGCGAAGTCCAAGCAATCCTGCCAGCGACGCATGTTCGCCGCTCCTTGTGCAGCGATAACCTCATTGCGAGCGATTGCAGCAAGGCGTTCATCCTTGCGTGCTCTCTTCGCTGCCCTTTCATCCGATCCAGAAGTTTTAAGAATCGAATCTCCCC